AGTTTCAGAAAAGTATATTTTATGTTTGGAAGATTTTTTAATGAAGAAAAAGTCATTGCGATAACAGATGGCTAAAAAAGGGCACCAAATTTCCAAGACTGCATATTTGTTGGCAAATCAGATTGAGTGCCTCTTTGGAGATCACGCTTGATCTGATGATGACTAAGACATTCATTCTCAAAGGTGTTGTATTCCTCCCTAATAAAATCTATAATTTAAACTTAGCTCTTCCCAATTCTGCACATCCATTGAATCATGTATCAAGTTTGGGGCAGGTAGCGTATATATATATATATATATATATATATATATATATATATATATATATAGTGATTGCCAGATCTTACTCTTCGCATCATTTGTGATGGTTTCCATCTCATATTGTTGTCTATGGCCCCTAAGATGACTCTTGAGACCAGCATTTCATTTCATAGGTATCAGGCATATATGAAAGATAAACTCTGTATCTTTGCTTGGGTTGATTGGATCTGCATACACTATAACTCTCCAGTGTGCCATCATGTGGCTCCTCAGTCCAGACGATGATCTGTAAACCTTGTTGCAGGTATTGTCGGCAGGGCGTTGAGGTAGGCTGGTATGTTTCTGGTTGTTATGATGACCTTTAAGATGGTTTATATAATCTGTCCTCAACAACATCACGCGCTCATATACACCTCCAAGACAGCATATTAGTTAGCAGCTCTGAGCGAATGCCTTTTCAGAGATCATGCTTGATCTGATCATGACTGAGACATTCATCATCAAAAGTTCTGCATCACTCTCTAATAAAGTGCTTTTATTCTGTACGACTCCCATGTGCAATGCATTATATACATACATCTGTACATACAGTCAGACAGACAAATGCCCTCCTGGAGAGACGGTACACCAGGCATTTTATTGGTTTGTTCTTGAGCTCCAGCCACAACAGGAACATTACTAGTTCTGAAGTGTCACATTTTCTATTTCCATCTCCAGATTGTTGTATTTGCTTAGATTTTCAAAAACCTATGCAGAGATTTTTTTTGTCACTTGGACCACTCGTGTCAATCTGTGCATACTTTTTCTTTTTGTCTTTGATAATAATGCCTGAACGATTTGCTTATAGTGTTCGATCTGTGTGGATAAAAAAATCCCGCAGGATGGTAACAATGTTCCCTCAATTACAGGAAGATGTTTATAACAGTTTGCAACTGTTTTTTTATCCCATAGTGATGACAGATCTTTCAAACAGATATTGACTTCTTCTTCTTCTTCTTCTTCTTCTTCTTCTTCTTCTTCTTATTATTATTATTATTATTATTATTATTATTATTATTATCGTTGTTATTATTATTATTATTATTATTATTTTCTTTGATTTCTGGCGTTTAGACATTTCTTTCCGGGTCCCGCCCAGGGACCTAAGGTTAGAAATGGCGTCATGACACTTTCCACTGACAAAAAAAAAAAAAAAAAAATTACATAGATAAAGCCCTTCGTAAGGTGTGGGCTGTACTTGTCAGAACAATTTTTTGTATCTCCTTGAGGCATGGACTTCCAGGAATCCCTTCAATTAGTCTACTGCAATCTTTTCCAACCAATCCTAGGGCTCCAACTACAATAGGGATTGTTGATGTGCCCATGATCATAATTATTATTATTATTATTATTATTATTATTAATATTATTTTTATTATTATTATAGTAAAGTAAAATGTTGGGTAAGTATCTTGGAATGGAAGACATCATTAATTTCTGTACCCTTTACCGGTTATGGATCTACTTGGGACACACTACTATAAAAGAATACCCAAAAGACAAAAATGAAAGAAATATCTAATGGCTACAAGTGTGAGTATTCAGTAAAACTAAGGTACTACCAGAATGGATGCCTGTTTTCCGAAATTAAAGCAAAAAATCGCTACCCAATGTTTTAAAATATTTGCCCCACATCTGGGAATTATCTGATTGAAACAAAATTTTTATCTCTCATATATTAATTAATTAATTTTTACTCTATTCTATTAAAAAAAACTTTGAGGAATTATTTTTTTGGATATATTTCACCCCACTTATGAATATCTCGTGTGTACTTTTTAAGCTGTGGAGGTCATCCAATTTTTAAAGAGAATTTTAAATTTGTTATTTACATTTTTCGTATACAATGGAGGTTCGACGAGTCGATGAGTGACAAAAAAATGTTGCCAACGTTTTAATGCCTAAAATGTTCATTTAAACACGGGAATTATTATTTTTTTTATTTTAATTCAGATAAGCTTTTAGGTCATTATCTTTCAAATAGAACCGAAATTTAAGTTCAAAAAAGGCATTTAAGCTATTTAAAATGCGTTTTTCGTTTTTGTTTTTTTAGAAAGTTCATGCTGGTAGTAAAACTCATTACAGTCGTAAAGGTTTCCCATCTAACCACTGCATTACAACCAGCCCCCTAACATAAAACCAATAATCATAAGATAGTAAAAAAAAAAAAAAAAAAATCTGAGATGAATTACTTCCCTTGGATTTGGATACGGGATTACTTCCCTTGCATCAATATATAGAGCGTGAAGTAGTCGAGACATGTTGAAAATTGTTTAAAATAAAAATATGTCCTCTTGAAATTTTAGTTGCAAAAAAAAAAAAAAAAAAAAAGAAAAAGAAAATAAAAATGTGAAGGGAAATTAAAAAATCTTTTAGAAGGTTTTTAATTCTCGTTGATAATCATAACGAAAAGTAGGCGAAAAGGTCTTAATTTTTTGTTAAAGAAATTTGAACATGTCTTCGCTTCTTTGTGTTCTATTTTACTTTCATTTAACAGATATTTTACTGGTCTTTTTTCCTGGCAATTTAAACTTATTTTTTAAGAACATATCCTTCCGAGTATTCGTTATTTATTTTTTTTAATCTGAAAAATAAATCGAAATCGAAAATTATTTTACTCAGACATCATCATTATTTGAATACACTTTTGTTCGGACTATCACTATTGTTTAGAGAATGGCTTTGAACTGAAATGTAACAGATGAGATTTTTTCAACAAATTCTAAATCTTCATTAGAATTTGCCAAGTGAAGGAAAGAACTGGTACGTGAACAAGTATCAAAATAAATTTTAAACAAGGCACATACACACGGAATGTAGATTTAATGATTTTTTACGTTTCTTATTTTCGTGAGTGATTTATCGTTTTTCCGCTAAGACAACAACGAAAAGGAAAATAGTTTTAAAAATCATCGAATATGTGTCAGAAATCTCAAAATCTAGAAAAAGATCCATGTATTTTATGCGTCTGAAACACGTTTCGGACAAGAAGGGACGATATATATATATTTAGAAAATCAGCATTTTAAACCATAGATCTTATTTGAGAGCCGGCCACTTGTAGAATACATTGTGTGTTTTACATGTTTTCGACAGTCAAAGAAAAAAAAAGTTTTATAAACGAATGAAAGAAATTTAAAACCATACAATTCTGACGTCGGTTCAAACCCTTGTTTCTCAAACTTTTCTTCCTTGCGGATCACTTTTGCTGTCAAAAAAAATTTCAGGCTTCAATAAGCACGAATAGACATTCCATGTAACACGACATAATTTTATTTACAAAAGCATAATGTAGTAGAAAATATAAATATTAACCAATTACCACACTGGTGTCTCCTGGCCCATTTAAAATATTTTTCTGGCCCACTTTTGGGTCTAAGGGTTCACGTTGAGAATCATTGGTTTAAACCAATGCCTTTGCGGGATGCTTTGGTAAATATTTAGTCAACATTATGTTGCTATAATCAGCACTTTGGATAGTAAATATTTATGGACTCCTGGAAAATTTATTCCACTAACAATATTGGCGAACTCAATGTGAGTCCAAGTGAAAAATGATAACACAAAACAATAAATATGAAACAAACTACAATGCATGTATCAACACAAGGAATTACATGTGACAAAAGGAAAAAAATAACTTCAATATGTATAATAAGTATGCGCTTGTGTGTGTGTGTGTGTGTGTGTGTGTAACAAGCGTGTGAGAAAGTACAAAAGTCAAGAGAAAAAAACCCATGAAAATTAACGTTTCCCAGTGGGATACGCTTTACCCACGTACTACTACATCTTATAGCCAGAGTTAAAAAGCTGTAAAAAGAAGCTAGGAAGAGAAATGGACGCCTTTTTACAGGCTTAAGAAGCGCCCCCAAGTGATGGGTTTTGGGCAAAGTCAAGTGCGATAATCCACGTGCCTTTTTTTTTTATATATTGTGAAAATTCGTATTTTCTTGATTACATATAAAATCTTGGAAAAATTCCATTATATTTCAGTTAAATTTCAACTTTTCAAAAATTATAGTTTCGATGTATGGGAAAAAAGGTGTGTGTTTCAAATGACCCTAGGCGAATATGGGTTAAATGAATGCATATATTTTATTTTGATGTTTTTTTTTTTTGTTTTGTAATGAAAATGTTATGATTCAAAGGAGTGAAAGGACAGTATCTTACGTCCAGATTTGGTCCACGGCCTGTTTCAAAATCCTTGATTTAAAATATACAACTGTTATGACGTAAAACTTTCAAAACGTAATTATGGCTTAAATTCTGTTCAAATCATGTCTTAGGGAAAATCAAACGTATGAACAATCTAATCATTTGATGCGATTCTATTTGGACTAATTTCATCGTAGTTGCTATCGGCTTGTTTTTCCACAACGTTTCAGTTGTCTACTTTCCGGCTTCTACTGAGCGTTTGTTGTGTTTTCACAATGGGCAAAGACTTTGCAAAATGTTAAAAACTTGCTAAAAGATTATGACCTTAAGTAATAAGCAAAAAGCTGTTATATTAGTTTGTGTCAGCGTTTGCGGGTGTCAGAATTAAAACTCTTCTTACATCTGCCTTCATATCTTTGGAAACGGGTTAAAATAAAAATACCCCTGGAAATGTGGGGATAACGTGTTAAAAATCAATTTCGCTATCACAGACTGCATCCAAATTTGTAGAAGCAGATATGACAAAAATAAGACGCTTCGTGCCTACGGCCACACACGTTGAAACACCGGGTCCCGTACGATCACCGAAGTTAAGCAACGTTGAACTTGGTCAGTGCCTATATTCGTGACTGCTTTGGAATACCAGGTGCTGTAAACTTGGATGTGCGGTAAATAACTGCTCGGAATTAGAAATCGGAGTGCTGTGTTCCAATTCCACACAATTTCTTTATATTCAATTACGTTCAAATTGTCATGGATAATCAAGAGTGGTCTCCCTTTGTTTCGTTACTATTCGTATATACTTTTCTGAAATAAATCCTGTTATGAATAATCAACAGTCATCTCCCCTTGCTTTGTTACTCTCCTCTTTGAGAGAGCAATTTCTGTTTACTGGGACTATAAAAGGACACTATACGCGAAGTTTGCATTCTCAGTTGAATAAAGCCTACACCTGCGTCCTTTTGTCACTACACAAATACCCATGGGAAAAATCCATGTACAAAATATTGTTGCCACTGCTTTTAATCAAACATAAGTCGTGGCCACTACAATATTTTATGACTTCGACGTGATTTCAATATACACCTACTGTAACAAGCAGTAGTTAACAAAGCCAACAACAACTTTAAGAAATAATACCTAAGTTTAATCCAGTAGAAGAAATCAATTATGATTTGATAATCACGAATTGATCGCAACACAATCTGATTTATATGAATATTTATTTCGATTTGATGCATTCTTTTAACTCAAAAAACTATTAGAGAAAGTTTTCGCTATTTTGTATATGTTGGGACATATATCCAGACAAACAATGTTGCATGGAAAGGAACAAGTAAGAGTTTGAAGTCAACAAATCTAGAGAATGAGTCGTACTTGCAAGAAATTCATATTCCAGGTCAAATAATCTGTGATTGCATTGCATCTGCAAATTGAGAATGGTTTTGTCTTGTTACAAAATCATCAGTTGAATCATTTTGCTAGAAAAAGCTATTTTATCATTCAGTCCGCCCTTCAAACGCACCAGATGCTCACTGCATCTTTTTACAGTATCAGTTTCTCACGTTCCCAGTGAATCGTAATAAATAAAATCCTTTTATATCCAAATAAACACAGGTACTATTTTTTTCCAGTATATTCCATTTTGTTTGAGATATTGAATGTTGTCTTGGCCCTGGCCACGATTTTGCTAGTTTTTGATTCTCACAATAAATTCATATTTTATCGATAGTGACCACCTTGTCCAAATACGACATCTTTTTGTTGGATCGCTCAAGAAGAGAAAGACGCAACTTCTCGGATATTTTAACGTCCATGGTTTGGCACGAAGTGGTTTTTACATAACAACAAAATCTTTTTCATTAATTGGTGCGATTTTTTACCTTACATACAAAGTCTGAGCAAAAAGTATCGGGATTGTTGCTATGGTAACGAAGCTAACGTACGCACAGTGAAGTCGCTTGGCACATATTGACTTTGAACTCTGTTATTAAGTTATAACGTTATTGCTCACTTTCGATGTTTATAGCAGTGCTTGGAAGGAAAGTGCGTAGAGTGTGGCCGCTTAGAAGAAGCAAAAGAAAACTCATTTACAGAACCACTGTTTCACGTTTAGCGATTTTCAAAGTAAATAAATGCACTTAAACATTTAGAAGACAGCAGTCATTCATTTTGAAAGTCGCTAAGCGTGAAACATACACAAGCACATATATACTTCTTTAGCCATTTTCAAGGAGATTTTGTTTTAGTGTTTAGTTCCTTTTCATGGTTTGACTGCGTGAGATGTATTATTTGTGAATTCTAATAAGAGCGTTAATTTCGAAGCGTCGTGTGTTGGTCATGGTTGGAGCTTGAGTAGGCGACTTTCTACTTTTAAAAGATTTCAGCATGCCATTTCCATTGTTGAACAGGGTGAGGTTGATGATGGTGGAGGGCTGTTTGATGTACAGGGCCTATCTTATAACGAGCTGGTTTCGTAATTTTGATTTACTTGAGACTCTAGTGTTTTCGACCAGTATTTTTATTTTTTGTAGATTGTGGGTTGATAGATTTTTTTATGGCACTTTGCTTTGATAATTGACATGTAAGACGACTACTCAAGAAGTGGACGAAAGCACTTGGAACAATGGACAATATGGATAGTTTTTCAACTCCCTCACCCCCACCAAACGACGGAAAACGCTGTAAAAACTAAATAAAAAATATATAAAATTTTACTTGTCCGTTATATTTAACGAAGAATGTTTAAAAGAATGGTTGCTGTCAAAATATACATTAATCATATATATATATATATATATATATATATATATATATATATATATATATATATATATATATATATATATATATATATATAGTCCGACAATTATTTCAATATATTTTCTGTTCATACGTTATTTTTATACATATAAATATTAAAGTAAATGCTCTGTTTATAATAAACAGTATTAACTACATTTACAAACCTGAATATCCGAGAAATTTTATAGGAAAATATGTGTCCTCCGAAAAGAAATCATGTTGTTGATTGAAAACAGTAATTGAACTTTGCTCACCAGACGCTTCCTCTGTAGCTAAATGGTAAAGCACGTCAGGCTATATGACGGCTCCGTGTAGGATAGAGGTTCGATTCCTGTCGGAGGACACATATTTTCTATGGAATTTCTCGGATATTCAAGCCGGGAAATGTTGTTAATACTGGTTATTATAAACAGAGCATTTACTTAAATATTTGTATCTATAAAAATAACGTATAAACAGTATATATATATATATATATATATATATATATATATATATATATATATATATATATATGTATGTAGAGAGAGAGAAAGAGAGAGAAATAGATAAAGAGAAACCGATAGACAGACAGACAGAGACAGTAAGCCAGAAAGAAATAGACCATTCATACATACATACATACATACAAAGAGATAGATTATATTAAAATATATCCTCAGTTCAGCTATCTATATTCTCGATTTGAGAGTTCTTATGTAGTTTTAGACATTGCCTATTTTTATATATTATTCTTTTAACTCATATATGTGCGCACTTACAGCGAATTTACTCATAAATAAACACCAACCTACATATTCATGTAAGCATATATATGCAGTTGATGTCTACAGTGTCTGATCGTTAACCGCATATCCATTCCGAAAATTATCTTTGATTTCAGACACTGTCTTTCAATAAGCAACCCTTACGTATTTCTCAATTAATGACAGATGTCCCAATCAGAAATTATTTTTACCGCCTTTCATAGACGCACATTCATCACTTTATGTCCATTTATTTCTTAATGAATAAGTGTCTTATCATTTTTTCCTTAGAAGTCCGAACAGCTATTCTCCACTAAACACACTTTCCAATAGACAGAACGTCAATAAACGTTAATAAAACTCTGTTCAGTTTCTTGAAATGACTTTACTTATTATTGAAGGCAACTTTTAAAACTTTATAAACGCATGACACTTGGAAATTAATGCCGAATAGAGATATTGCAGATTTTACAAGTAAGTTATAAACATTAATGAAACCTGTAACTTATAATAAGTAATGGTTAACCGTTTCCATACAGACAACTTTTGGCATTCATTGACCAAACATTTAGCATTACTATCGATTGGAATTTATAAAATCTTTTTATTAAAAGAATTTTTCAGGAAATTAGATTTCCCAAATCAATTAAATTAATTAATTAAACATAAAACTGTTAGCAACATGTTATTGTCAATTTCTATCTGAATTTCTAGGATTAGAATTGTTTAATATATTGTACTTACATTCGAACTATTGTCCTCATATTTGTTGCTATTACCACAACGCTTCGATCGTTGTGCTCTCAGGCCTTCACGAACAACGCTTTAATTCCCTAGGGTATTGTCTCGCTAGTGCAGTGGTTCCCAAAGAATACGGTGCGACTCAAATGTGCGGCGGAAGAGGATAGCAGATGAGGCAGAATGATTGAAAGACAATCAAAGATTTAGAAACAGTTTCAAATAATTCATATACCAGAAATAAATATGTTTTCAAAATTCAAAATATTATAATGGATTACTTGTAATTGCATGCATGAATCCCAGTATAAATAGTTATAAATAATTGTTGACCGATTTTATCATTGTGATAATTTTGCTTTATATCAAATACTAAGAATATAGTAACTAGGGTCCACAAACTGGAGGAGAGAGTTATCAATAATAATGTTCTGAATTCGAACCCTTTAACCCTCTCTCTGTTTTTGGTTTATTTTTAAATGTACTTCTATTTTCACAAAAATTTTGTGAGGCTCGAGCAAATTTTAATTCCGAAAATGTTGACCAGAGAAAAAATGTTTGAGAACCATTGCGCTAGTGGTATAAAGCAATGGTTTGTCAATTTGTTGGCATAATAATTGTGAGTTCAATCCCTCGTCCAGGTAGTGAAGACTGAAACTCAGTGGAAAGAAGGCGATCAATAATTGATCAGTACTAAACAAGAATTAGACGAGATATCCCTAGACATGGACAACGGAACGAGAACAATCTGCCATCATAGAGTAAATAAAGGTTTTTAGTTCGAAATTCCTTGAATGTTAATCGGATCTATAATCAACTTAATAAAAGCTCATTTAAAACAACCGATAGGTTGTGATAAGAAAAAACAAAGAGGAGGACAATAGTCCGAGTGTAAACAGTGTTATTGTTACTGCAAAAATATTGATTTACATAATAAAATCTGGTATAGTGTACTTTTTACCTTGACTCCAGTCAAGATCATAATCCTGCACCGCAATTCATTAGCTTTCTAACAGTTTGGTAAGATGTCTCTAACCAGGACCTTTAACTTTGAATTAAAAGTTGTTGTTCTCCTAGACTGGTTGCCAAACATGGATAGAAAGGTCAGTCTGCTGTGTTATTTAATCCATACCAGGAGGAGAAGAGATGGATCGATCAAAAGAGACTACAGACGTGAGATGTGTCCTTTTAAATTGTTTTAAAGCTTCTGCTCAATTTGAATTTTATCTGAATTCAGAGTTGTTATTTTCCTAGACCGGTTTCCAAACATGGCTTTAGTGGCCAGTTTGACCTGCTATTTAACTCATACTTGGAGGGAGAATGGATGTATTCGTCAAAAGAGACTACAGATTCAGTATGTGCCCAA